TATATATACACCCACACACAGACACACACAGACACACACATACACGTACTGATTGGATTGAAACCCTCAACACAAAAAAATAGTAATATAATTATGAGACTGTGTTATGCCTATTGCAACATTGAAAGGTTCGTCACAGAATATTGTACATATTGAACGCCCCCACCCCACCCAAACAAACGAACAAACAAAATAGTAAAATAATGTAACACATCTATTACTAATACTTGTCGATTCTTTGACTCAGGATAATAATAAAATGTTTACAACTTAGAAATTGTTTTGTCTATCTACACCAATTTTGATACTATGCGATGGTCATGTTAGGAAATTGTGTAAGGAATACACAATTGGAGGGCTAATTTCATTTGGGTCATTCTGGGGAGCATAGTGCTGTCTTATAGGGTACTGTCTTTATTTTTGTATTCAAAATAAGATGCAAACCCCCTTTGAAAGCACTGAATTCCCTTCGCAAACCCCCCCCCCCCCTCCACCCCGGAAGTTTTCTCAAAATTAAAGCTGAAATTCCCAAGAAATAATTTTGGGCTCTAAGAGTAGATTTTTCAACAACCTTGTCAGCTTTGACAAGAACTTTGGAAGTCAGAAATTCGGAAATTTTAATTAGTGCGGGATAGCACTCAGCTTACAAATATAAGTCTGGCTCAATAATACGGTGTGATTTAAAAAGAACACGCCAAAATCATCACATTGTCATGATATATCAAAAAAGAAAACCAAGAAAGATTATGTTCCACCACTTCTAGCAAATTAATATTATATCGATGACATGAAAGATCTTATAACAGCCACAATCAACACGATCGCTTTAGACATTCTGAGGCGCGTTTGGGAGGAATTATCGGTTTTAGTTTTTAGTTTTAGTAAGAGTTTTACGGCACTTGCAACACAATATGGTCATATAAGTGCCGATTGCCGTTTCAGCCACAATGAGCATTAATTGTAAAACATGAAATAAGACTTGAAGGTATTTATATCACATGTGTACAAGCTAGAGTTTTCGATCGTTTTTCGTGGGGTTTTTTTAATATTGCGGGATGATTTTGCCGTATTCTTTTGGAATAACTGTAATAAGTAGGCTAAGCCATTCTCGTAGCACTTTGGCGGTATGATATCGTCTTTTCTTGTTGGTTACAAGGAGGATTGGTTGCTTTGTATTTCGAATAATATAGACGCCAGGTGTCGCTTATTGTAAAACGTGGAACGGATTATAGTTAAGTTCCAGTTTGTTTTGTGCAAAATAGGCAGATTGAATAAAATCTACATAATTATTGAATATATGTGCAGTGGATTCTGATTTCATTATTATGTGTGTGATGAAGAACGTGGAGAATTATTTTGTCTGTCACTGTGAGGCTCGACTTATTATATTATATCCATTTTGTCTGTCTGTCTGTCTGTCTGTCTGTCTGTCTGTCTGTCTTCATGCCTCGTCCCTTCCCATCCCAACCCCCCACCTCTCTCACTCTCTCTTTCTCTCTCTCTCTCTCTCTCTCTCTCTCTCTTTCTCTCTCTCTCTCTCTCTCTCTTTCTGTCTATCTATCTATCTATCTATCTATCTATCTATCTATCTATCTATATATCTATCTATCTATTTATCTATCTATCTATCTATCTATCTATCTATCTATCTATCTATCTATCTATCTATCTGTCTATCTATCTGTCTCTCGTTCTCTCTCTCTCTCTCACGTCTCTGTGCATCTCATTTGTTTTGGCTATCTCTGCCTTTGCCTCTACCGCTCTGTTCTTTTCTTTCTCTTTCCATCTATCTATCAATGGATTTGAGTGTATGTGAGTGTGTGATGTGTGTGTGTATGTCTGTGTGTGTTTGTGTGTTGGCATGCGTGTGTGTGTGTGCGTGAGTGTGTGTGAGTTTGTTTGTTCGTATCTGAGTGTCTCTCTGTGTGTGTGTGTGTGTGTGTGTGTGTGTGTGTGTGTGTGTGTGTGTGTGTGTTTGTTTGTTTGTGTGTGAGCAAGCATGTTTTTGTTTTTATAAAAATGCGAAAGAATGTATGTACGTTGATATATTATTCCAACTATTTTCTTTTGTTTCAGTGCACACTGACCGTTTTGTCTTCTTAATAAAAGTAAAGAAACGAACATAATAAGGTAACCGGAACACACGCCTAAAAAAATAACTCTCAACCCCCTCCTCATTTCTTTTGTCTTTCTAAAGAGGGAGAAAAAAACAACACACAAACAAACAAGAAACAAACCCGAAATTCTCCTCCACGTAGGATTAGCATATCTCACTCCCAGTTCCCCGATCTGTCAATGGGTCCGCCAGGGGTCGCGTGTGTTTCTCGCCCGGCTATCGCGGACCTGAGGAGTTTCGCGCCTTCCCGCGACAGCCCAGGTCTTCATGTCCCCAGGTGCGGGCGCGCGGATTATACCTGGACCCGTTTCCGTCTCGTACTATGAGAACACAACGCTACTAAAAACAAGACCTGTATATAAACCAGAAACCACCGCTATGGACACACAAAAAATATCTCCCAGTTGTTTCGAACTTGTCCACGTAAAACTGTACCCCGCCTCTCTCAGTTCTGTGTGAGTGTTTCTTTCGAAAAGGCGGGAAGCTGACCGGAGGGTCTACCACTGCCCCGGTTATTTCATCAGCAAGAAGTCTGTGTACAGCATGGCTTCTACGACAATAGTTTTTGTTACCATTTTGGTCCTTCTATGCGGTGAGTAAAGCGAGTTAATTAATAAAATAATGAGTTCTAGTGTTTCAGATGTCTGTGATACCCGCTGTGCTTAGCGCTAAGGTAAATATAAAATAAATTAAGTAAATTTCTCAGATTATATTATTATTATTAAGCTTATTACATGATGGATTATAATATGCAAACGTATTTTTATAAAATATAATTGTGAGGCAGCGTGGTGGAATCAGGCTCTCGTCAAAGTAATCGAAGTGAAGAAATTTGCTTTTTTTCTGTGGGTTTGTGATTTTTTCTCAAATTTTTGTTTTTTGGCTCAACACCTTTCATGCCCATTAAAGAACTCATTTCTGTGTGGATTTTTCTGAAAAACGTTGATTAAAGGCACAAAAAATGTAAATATTCAGTTACCACGGACTCTTGAGCTAAGGAAATAACTAATCTTTGGCGGCCATTTTCTCACTAATATTACCTCTGAAAACAGGTGACCCCCACTTCCTTCATTCGCAAATATCTCGACTTGTATTCAAGATAAATGGATATTTTTTTTCATCCAAATAAACACAAGTGAACAAGCTTTACGATGACACCAATAACTCTACGTTCCCAAAAATTGACGAGAGCCTGATTCCACCACGCTGCCTCACAATTGTTAACACTCACACACACACACACACACACACACACACACACACACACACACACACACACACACATACACACATATATATATATATATATATATATATATATATATATATATATATATATATATATATATATATATATATATATCATATACACAAACACACGTATGCACGCATGCATGCACGCCTTCACACACTTGTATCATTCATTATTTCAAACGCACAATCCCTCCCATGCACCCTCATTTTGCTAAAGCTATAACAACAATAACAACGTAACCACCACGAAGATAGTAGTAGTAGTAGTAGTAGTAGTAGTAGTAGTAGTAGTAGTAGTAGTAGTAATAATAATAATAATAATAATAATAATGATAATGTTAATGTTAATGATCATGATAATAATAATAACAGCAATAAGGATAGTAACAATGATATTAATAATGATAATAATAGGATTCATCATCATCATCATCATCTCATAATCATCATCATCATCATCATCATCATCATCATCATTCTTGTTGCACCCACTTCACCGATGGCTTAATAGCGTTTTGCTTGCAATATAATAAACTAGCTGGACCCCCTTTCTATGAAAGGAATGATCGCTGCATTAATATCAACTGAAACTCATTGGCCTACTGTGTTCACAAAATAACCTTGAGAGATGAACAGATTTAGAAGGTCTAGATATAGAGATGTATAGATTGATTCTCTATTCCGCTTTCGTGGTTGTACACTCCAGAATTTCAAAGGTGCGCACTGTAAGTGAACGGAACTTTCACTTGTTTACAATGGCGTCTCAGAAAACGGACTCTCCCAAGATTAGATCTAAACGAAACTAATGAAAAAACTGGAAATTAAACTTCAGCGACTTCAGGCTCCTCAATAAAACTGTGCACCCTTTAAATGATTCTGAAATACCGTTAATTTTGTCAAATTCGAAAGTTTAAGACGGCCAGAGTGACGAACATTCACAAATATAATACGTATAGATTTCGCCAGCTGACACGATAACAGAGTGCGTACCTACCGCCCATTCAATAATAAAACTTTTGTATTATTATAATAATCATTCTAACTGTTATTATTATAATAATAGTATACTAACTATTATCATTATCGTCATCATTATTATTATTTAATACTATTATTATGATAATTATTATTATTATCATCATTTATTATTATTATTATTATTATTATTATTATTATTATTATTATCATTATTATTATTATTATCATTATTATTATATACGCACCTGTAATCTGACAAACGCGAACGTGAAAAATGGGGGCTTTCTTGGCTTAGAGGTTAAGGTGTTGGCCTCTCATTCAAAGGTCCCGGGTTCGATTCCGGGTAGCGACCGGAAAGCTTTCTTCTCTAAAATTGTCTTCTTTCCCCTCCTTTCCTGCTCACTAACAATGTTCTGTCGGCTGCTTTTGTCTCGTCTTTCTGCCCCCACCCCCTCACCTCCTTTGCCCCCTCCTCTAGGCTCCTGACTCTTTCTGCAGCCTTTCTGTTGCTACTCCTTGGCTCCTTTTTATTGCTGTCTTTCAACCACACCCCTGATCTTCTGGTAAGAAAAATTTACACCTAGTCTTCTCGGACAAGGTCGAAAAATCTCGAAGGACCGTGTGCGAGTTGCGCACGTTAAAGATTCCTTGGTGGTCTAAAACCGATAAGAGTAGGATAAAAGTAGACTTAGGCGCCACCAGGGCAAAATTCAAAATTTCCTTGCGACTGAAAATGTTTAAGGTGTCCCGCACGCTCATATGACCTTATGCAGTTGAGAGCGCCGTAAAACACTTACCCCCCCCCCCCCTCCCAAAAAAGCAAACAAAAAACCGACATGAAAACCATACTCATAGTATTTTCTGATCACTCTTGTTGTTTGAAGAAAAATCCAATAATTGTATCCCATGTATTGGGAACACTAAGCACATCCATCACCGCCCCCCCCCCCCTCCCTCCTTTCATCCTACCCTCAATTTCAGTGACCGAATGAGCAATGAGTACAGACTCAGAAAGAATATCAAGAAAGTGTTGGTGATACAGCCTTTTGATGGATGATCACTAGGGTGTGTCCTTGAGCAAGACACAATTACTTTAGCTAAAAAACAAACAAACAAACAAAATCAAACAAAACAGTGCGCTACACACTGACGACAAACAATGGCATATTTGTATAATTTTGTATTCTTTTTATGTAGGCTTAAATTTGTGTGTTAAATTATGTGAATATATGCACAGCGGTAATAGAAACTTTCCATTTGGACAGAAGCCTGTATTGTGGTTATTATTTAACATATAAAAACAAAAAATTGACACAAACATATTTCAAAGTACTTCAAGAAGTGCGTTTCGTTTTGTTTCTTGATAATGTCTCATGTAGTGGCACAGTGTTAAGCACAAACCGGTACCCCTTGGTTTCAAATTTTCGCATCAAGAAAGTGGGCATTGTAGCCCCTTGCAATGATGCAAACTTGGCGTGTTCTGCGCATTGATCAAGTCAGTTTTGTTTTTTTTTGGTTTTCTGTGGAAGCCCTTTCCACTCTTGAATCCAAGGTTGTCCCCGCTGTTGTACAATGTGAATGTCGTTCTGGGAGCTCTCTCTTAGGCCTCGTCTGTTCAAGCGTAATTATTGGAAAGATGGCAAACGTTGGTCATTATAAGACCGACTTGTTCGATGTTCGACAGTATTTTAAGGGCGAAGTTGTATCCTTCTACTTCTATCGCTGATATCTATTCCAGTGTCTGTAGGAAACTGACGTGCAGAGCTGGTCGTTGTGAGAAAGTGATTTCAAAGATACCAGAGCCGTATCTCTCTGTTTTCTTGGGCAGCATCGACCTGTGGTTTGCCTGGTCAGGGTCTGTCAGGTGTAACTCCGATAATTTGGAACCAATCTTTCAGGATATTGATGGTAGGATGAGTGCAATGAAGCGTCCGCGCCACTCTACGGGCCAATAGTACAGCTTGCAGTATTCAAATTGCCCAACAGCGCATCTTGTACAGCAATTTAAGACGACAGAAACCAAATGGAATGTCTTTGTAACTTGTTTTTTTTTTCGGTTCTAAAGTCGCTGATGTGTTGATCTAAACACAGTTTAGAAGATGTCATAATTTCGGCGGAGCTTAAGTCACTAAATGTGTTAATTTTCATGTGGGTCACGTGACCATGTTGTTAATTTATTGTTCAAGAAAAAGATCAACGAAGAGTTATCGTTGGGTGCATGGTGAGTGGTGTGCAAAATTTCGCTCCCTAACTCACGTGAACAGAGTCCCCCTTTCTACACACACTTACTCATACATTTTTTCTTTCTTATTTCTTTACATATAGACATACAGACAGACAGACAGACAGACAGACAGACAGACAGAGGAGAGAGAGACAGAGAGAGAGAGAGAGAGAGAGAACGAGAGGGAAAGAGAGAGAGAGAACGAGAGGGAAAGAGAGAGAGAGAACGAGAGGGAGAGAGAGAGAGAGAACGAGAGGGAAAGAGAGAGAGAGAACGAGAGGGAGAGAGAGAGAGAGAGAGAGAGAGAGAGAGAGAGAGAGAGAGAGAGAGAGAGAGAGAGTGAGAAAGAGAGAAATGGCTTTGTACGGTCTAGGATATAATAACAATTTAAGTCTTTGGATAAGTTTATTTTACTATTACTTTTAGCTCCTTCTCCTAAATACCATTGAATTACAAGTTTGGTATCTACATTATTGTTTCATTATGTTGGTTTCAATATGCTAAAGCGTCAAGAGTGTGCCTCATAGCACGACTTAGTCTCAGATATAAATAAAAATAAAGTTCATATCGGCAATAATAACAATGATACTTTATATTTTTGTTGCGAATTTTCATAAGTAGGAGTAAAGTGCAAAATAATAATGCTATGACATGATACGGGGGACGTTGTTCCATTATTATCCCTTTGATCAAGACGAGGTGGTATATTTTGGAAGGGGGCTTTCCTGGTCGAGAGGTTACGAAGTTCGCAGTATGTCCCGGTATCAAAACCTGGCAGCGACGGAAAATTTTGTTCTCTAAAATGCTCACCTTTCATCCACTTTCCTGCTCTCTAACCATGTTTTATCGTCTGCTTTCGTCTTCATAGTTGGCCCCCACCACACCCCCTTTGCCCTTCCTCTTGGCTCCCGACTCTTTATGTAGCCTTTTTACTGCTACTCCTTCATTCGTGCTACTGTCTTTCAGACACACTCGTGAACTTAAGGTAGGTTAGATCTAAAACCGAGCTTTCTGGGATCAGAGCGAAAAATCTCGGATCCAATGTGCAAGTTGCGCACATTTAAAGATCCCTAGATGATCCAATTCGATAAGATAGGCTTCGGCCGCCACACGGGCAAAATTTAAAAATTCCAACCAACCTGAAAATGTTTAATGTGTCCCGCGCACTTATATGACCTTATACATTATTGCGAGCGCCGTATACCACTTACAAAAAAGAAACCAAAAGCTTTTGGACCTCATTCTAGAGGGTGTGGGGGGGGGGGGGGGTCTCGTGGCCTAGAAGTTAAGGTCCCGGGTTCGAATCCGGGTAGCGACCGAAAAATTTTCTTCTCTAAATTTGTCTCCTTTCACCTCTTTTCCTGCTCTCTTGCAATGTTCTGTTGTTTGCTTTCATTTCCATTTTCTGCCCCCCACCCCCTCACCTCCTTTGCCCCCTCCTCTGGGCTCCTGACTCTTTCCGCAGCCTATCTACTGCTACTCCTTGGCTCCTCCTTACTTCTGTCTTTCTGCCACACCCCTGACCTTCTGGTAGGAAAGATCTACACCTAGCCTTTTCGGATAAGGGCGAAAAATCTCGGAGGGTCCGTGTGCAAGTTGAGCACGTTAAAGATCCCTTGGTGGTCTAAAATCGATAAGAGTAGGCTTCGCCCGCTACCCGGGCTCATATGACCTTATGCAGTTTCGAGCGCCGTAAAACATTTACAAAAACAAAAAACAATTCTAGAGGGGGAAATTACTGTCATTGTAGGTGAATACATTATTATACTACGGCACTTGTACTACTTTCTCAACGCCAGGTCATGTTCATCCCCCACCCTACCGACTGCCAAAAGTTCTACCAGTGTGCCCACGGCAAACCGTTTCTGCAGACCTGTTCCTCTTCGCTCCACTTCAACCCAACTATGAACGTCTGTGACTGGCCTTACAATGCAGGCTGCAAGGTGAGTAGTATTATAGAACAATTGGACCTTTTCAAGATGTCCATCCACTGTCAAGGAGGAAACGGTCATCTTAGACAGGTGATCCTCTTGGTCAGTGTCTTAAAAATATAAAAATACGCTGGGGGGTAGGGTGGATTAGAAAGTGGCCGTTTTACGTATGATTATCTTTAACATCTGTTCACATTTTTCAGGAGAGAGAGAGAGAGAGAGAGAGAGAGAGAGAGAGAGAGAGAG